GGTTTTATTACTTCTTTAACAACTTTCTTGGGAAATAAAATGATAATACAGATTATTTTTTGTTGTTATTGTAGTAAAGGAGAGAGAGAGAAAAAAAAAAAACAGTACAATCATGGATAATAAAATGAATAATTTTTCTCCATGACTTTTTTAGAGAAAATAATTATGAAGCTTATGAAGACAGATTAAATTTATTCTGTAATAAATATTACTTAGTATGAGGGTGTGAAATTTTCTTAAATCAGATAAGTGTATTCTAACTCCATCTTCTATTGTGCTTTATGTTGGAAGTAAATTTAAATCTGATCTAAAATTTTAATTGGAAAGTTATAAAGAAAATAAAAAAAAAAATTCAATGTATAATCTTGCAAAGGTACTTTTTAAATTTAATTCTTGAAATTATCTTTATATTCAATAAATTATCCAAAAAAAAGGAATAATATTAATATAAACTTATTTTTATTCACCTTATAATTCAATATTATAAAAATATTTTATTCGCCTTAAATCAAAAAATATATATTATGTATATTTTATAGCATGGTATGTGGTGGTATGCTTAAAATAAAAAATAAAAAGTATGGAATGGATTGAATCAACATATTTTTATTAATAAAAAACACCTAACTTATAATAAAGAAAATTTACAAAATATTTATCAACTAAAATATATTTATTATAATTTTTATTTCTAGAATTTAACTATAATTTTATGTTTTAAATTTATTAAATTATAGCAGACTAATATTTTTAGTGTAGTAGTGTTAAATTTTGGCTTGTGGTTGATAAGTATAGTTTAAATATGTCATTTTTCTTAATTTGCTCTTGGTTTTTGGCCTACTCATAAACCAACTTAATATTTGAAGCCAAGGTTTTTCCAACAAGATTTAAAAAATAATTTATAATTTTTTATTTTTATTTTATATAACTATAGAGATAACATTATATAAAGCAACATCTATTTAGATTTAAAAATCTTTGATTATATTTGATGACTGAAATACCAATCTATTAGCCATGTGACATGATATTGTAAATTACATTATTAATTTAAATCTTACTAGCTTGTATTAGATAATAATGCTTACATGCAAAGTTAAATCAAATATTTTAAAATAAATTTTATTTTATCAACTTAGATGATAATAATAACAAATTAGTGGCTTATAATTATTATTTTATATACTATTAATAAAGCTATAGGTTTTAAGTTTTGTAATCGTAAAATTAAGTATTTATATAAGGATTTATTTTTAATTATAAATTATATTATTAATTTCCAAATAATATTATTGATGAATTTTCTTCGAAAAATTCCTATCAACACAACAAAGAAAAAATGAATCTAAAAGGGGATAACGTTTTAATTATTTTTTAATGTGATGGAAGTATCATCTTTTTTTTTGGTAGTTTTTAGAAGTTAACAATTTATTAACTAAGAGACTATGTATATATTATTATTATTATTATTATTATTATTTATAATAAATCAATAAAAGAAATTATTTGGATTTTATAATAGTATGTAATATATTTTTTGTAATACAATTTAATTTTATAAAATAGATAAATAATATATATACATATATATAATAGAAATAATAAAAAATAGATAAAAAATTTGGAAAACAAAATCACAAAATAATTTTTATAGGATATTACATAAACTTCTATATAATATAAAGATATCTAAACATAGAAAATCTCTATTGCTTTATTTTAAAGAAGTAGACAATGGAGATCAAATAGAGATAGAATCTTTTATGATTACTATGATTATGATAGATTTATGTCATTTTTCTTGCATCATCGTTATGTATTAATTAATTTAAAAAATATTCTATCAAAATATAATTAATTTAGTTGCATTCTTAAACATATATATATATATATATATATATATAAAGAAAAGAATTATCTTAACTACAAGAATTAAACATAACTAATATAAAAACACATAATTAGAATTTTATTATCGATATAATATTTTGTATTAATTTACTTTGAATTTTATTTTAAAATTTTAAATTAATAGGAGGCTTAAAATTTTATACTTTATCTAATTTTTGAATCTAAATGATTTAATATTTATTTTAAAAAAATTAATAGAATAATTATTTTATAAATCTTGAATTACTTATGATTCATTATATTTTTGGATATTTTTAAAAATAAGTGTATTTTATTTTAAGTTAAATAATTTATTTATGATAGTAAAATTAATATACTTATAGGTTTAACAAAAAATATCTCATATAGATCTCAAATATATTGAAATATCAAGAATATTTCTATATTAATAATAACAAATATATTCCTTACTTTTGTGATAATAGCAAATATATCCTTGAATGTAATAAGGTTTCACCAATCTTCTTTTTTTAGTTGTCATTTGGGACCCAAATTCATGCATTTTGTTGTGTAGATTTTGCCCTTGTCTAGTTTTCAACAAACTTGTGGATGCTATGGTGATTTGAGGCAACATGACAGTAGAAGGCATGTAAAGCTCATCCTTTCATGCAGTCTAAGCACAACTATGGATGAGAGAAGTTGGTTTTAATCCACTATGGATTTCAATGCATTGTTTGTACCTTGTGTATTTCATGCTTTTAAACATACTACACACACTTGTAGAATGCAAGCTTGTAAGAGAGAATCTCAACTTGTATGGTATCCATGCCAATAGTCTCCATCTCCAAATTGTGAAACCCATAAGTTGCAAAACTATTCTCTTCACTCTTGTGAGAAAAAAACAATTATTTCTCACTTTGAATGTCATTCCAATACATAATTCTATATTATATTGATGCAGCAAGATGCCAAAGTTTTACAATGTAAAGAATTTGATTAGCATATTTTTTTCAATGTCAATCCACCACCAAAGGCATTTTAAAGATGTGGTTGAATTAGATGTGTACATTGAGAAGTCTAGAGTCTACAAGTTGTATCACCCTTGTGGTGTATAAATGAACAAAAGAAAAGGAGACTAAATTTTTGCAATTGTCTAAAAGCCAAAAACTATGTAAGGCCAAAAATTGCATGGCAAAATGCATGCGGTTTGGGCCCTAAATGACAACTAAAAATGAAAGCTTGTCAATACCTTATTGTATTTGAGGGTACATTTGCTATTATCACAAAAATGAGGGATAGATTTGCTATAATAAAAAATACATGGATATTCTTTATATCTTAGCATATGTAATTTTTTTTGCATAAAATCTCTCTAGTAACTAGAAGCAACAAATTAACCATTCTCTCTCTAGCTATAAATATTCCATTCTATATACAATATTATGTGTTATTAACTTATCCATCTAACAGCACAAAGTGGTATCCACTGTCATACATCCCTCACTGTTCTTACTCTCACTTACAGCAAAAGGCATTCAACAATGTTGGACTTGCAACTCTGTGATATATAAATATATATATATATATATATATATAAATAAAGGAAAAAGGACATATTTTTCTTCCACTGTTGGCATGCAAATGTTGTCATGGTTTGACTGCAGGGCAGATGAGCATGTGCACATGAACTGGATGGCTACAAATCCTAACACAAAATCTTTTTTCCTTTTTTTGATTTGCTTCCGCAAGCTTCTGACGCCGAAAGTCACACATAACGCAAGCAAGAGACGCGGGGAATGAGAGGTTGTCGTGTTGCAAGGCCAGGGAGGCTGAGCACGAGGGCGTGCATCTCACGAGGGATCCATTTCATGGTCTCCAACTCCCAGTTGGGTCTTCTGTTTCTACGAAAACGGTGTGGATCCCACCTCGAAAATAGTTTATTGCAGCTTGGGAAGTCAAAATAAGAATTTAAAAATGGAGTGCATTGGTCTCTGAGGACCAAATCCTCACGACAGTCGCAGCAGAGCAGACATGCCCCTGCCCCTGCTTACACGCTGCATGCAGGCTTCTCAAAGCCGGACCAACACTGACAAACTTACACAATCACACACACACATTCTCTCTCTCTCTCGATTGCTGTGTGCGTGTGTGTGAATGTTCTTCAGAGCTACGACCAATGCACAGATCTGCATGGCTTCTAATCTATCGGTTTGACATGAGAAGCTTGTAGATTTGCACTTGGCAGCCTCTGTTTAGCAGAAAGTCCCTCGTCAGTTTACTCCTAGACAGCACACCGAGCGGAGCGTAATCCCACCCGACCAACTTCAAAGACTCGAAAGGCAAAATTGGCGTGGCTATTTGCCCCACCCATGATCTTGCCACCGCAAAAAATAGGCAACCAGGGTCTGTAAGATGTGGCGTGGCTCTCCTCCACCGTGCCAGATCCCATCCTCCAACCACGTTCTTGTCTCAGATTTAATAATCACAAAAAACATGGGTCCACGAACTGATTTCGCCGTATGGCAGGCTCTCATGACTCCGGAATCGTGTAACATGTGGCTCGGTGGGGCCTGCACCTGGGTACAAGATTGGGATCGAGCATGCATCCTCCCACTAAAGATCAGTGGGACACGACTGGGGAAGCCCTCAGCTGGTTCCTTCGCGGTTTGATCTCTAGGTGGAGTTGGTGGTGGGTGCATTCATTTCTGTGTTGTGTTTATTAATTTAGTACAAAGAATATCTTTTTTTCTTTTCAAGAGTTGTGCCAGAGCATTTGCGGAGTTGATGTGTAGCACGAAACGGAGATATAAACATTATAACCTTATTTTTCATTGTTCAAAGTACCCCACACGCTTTTACGTAGAAAAATCACCCAACAAGTACGTAACTGTGATGAAACTTCCAAGTTTTGTGCATTCCACACAAAGGCGTTCGACACATTCTTGATACACTTTTGTCGTGCACGCTTCATTTTTGGTGAACAGAAACAAATCTCCACGTAGACTGTCTTAGGGGTACAAACACTTTCAACTATCAACTTTTGCGTCTTGAAAACAATAGATGAGAGCCACTTGAATTTCTTAATCGTACACGGGGTGGATGTTGAACCTGATGTTCACATGCATTCGAAAGAATACTTGTAGAGAGGGTATAAAAGTTACAATTCACAGCCTTGGAATCACATTTTAATTCTCTTCGAGCTTTTCCAGAAAGTAATGGAGGAGTGATAAGTCTCCACCTATGTTCAAATCGCTTCACAGCTGTGATAATTACAAATGTTCGAAAAGACTTGATAGAGCTATAAGCATGGCGCACCCATACCACCACAAGAATGTGTGACATAACCAGTTCACTAAGGCACTGTAATACAAAACGATTATCTTCCTAATGCTCTATGCTCTACAGCAGTGAATTTCGCCATTATCGGGGTTTTAGAGCGTCAATGCACTCAAAGCCAATCCTCGGAAATGACCTCAAAGACGATAAATCACCGCATCATCCAAGTCCCCGCTTGGACAGTATCACAATCCAACAGGGAAAACTAAGCTCCGCAAACACAGATGACTCAGATACCAGGTGTCTCACACAGGCCGAGTCTTTCTGTGAGAATAAGGAAGAAAGATAATTAAACAAGAGTAGATCTGACTCCAATGTGAAATGTTCATGTGGGGGATCCAGTCAAGCCAAGGTGAGTCCAGTCCAGAGGGGCTGGTTCACTGGTATGGTAGAGACGATTCCTCACTTGCCTGCTCATCACACCCAGTCCTTCCACAACACGCACAAGAGCAAGCCACCAGCGATCCTCACTGACCTCCCGTTGCAGCAGAGATTCCGAGATGGCGCTATCGTGTTGGCCGGAGAGTACCTGGTAGAGAGTCTGCGCTGCATCGCGCGTTCGCTCAAGGATGGTGGTTTCACCTTCACCCTCACAGATTTGAGTGAGATCTTGCTGGGAGGCTGTGAGGGACATGGCGAGCGCCCATTGGGCAGCAGTAGCCCACCTGGAAGATGCTGCCCCCCGGCGGCGTACATTCTCAGCTTTCTGCTCCAGATCGGCCTTGATGTCCACCTCGCCCTTGACGATGCTCTGCAGGTAACGAGCGTTGGCAGCTCCTGTGCTCCGGACCATGCTAGAAAACATGGAGTCGTCTTTGGAAAGAAGACCCTACGCATATAATGAGAAAACGAAGGGAGATTCAATTGGAAGAATTCTAAATCCATCCGAAGCTGGTAGTTCGTGTCCAACCAGCAACCTTAATGCAAGCTAAAAAACTGGAACACAAAATTCGAAAAGATAAAAGAAAGAAAATGCACCTCAGGAGTATCAATTTCAACCAAGCGACCCGCATCCATGACCAAAATCCTATCAGAGTCGATGATGGTATTGATGCGATGCGCGATGATGAGCATTGTGCACGCCTTGAACTCTTCCCTGATGGTTTTTTGAATCAAGGCATCTGTGCCGACATCAACAGCTGCCGTTGCCTCATCCAGCACCAAAATTTTTGATCGACGAAGGAGGGCACGGGCCAAGCTCAGAAGCTGCCGCTGTCCAACGCTGAAGTTTTCACCCCCCTCGGCAACCTCAGCGTCCAGTCCCTGGGAGTTGCGACGAATAGCGTCCTTCAAGTGGGCCCTTTCTAACGACTCCCATAAATCCGCATCATTGTGTTCATTAAACGGGTCCAAATTGAACCGGATAGTGCCTGAGAACAAAACGGGCGTCTGAGGAATGATTCCTAACCTTTTTCGAAGATCAGCCAAACCCAATTGAAGGATATTAACCCCATCGATCGTAATCACACCAGACTCAGGTTCAACAATTCGGAAGAGAGTGTTGAACATTGAACTTTTGCCAGCTCCAGTCCGACCGACAACTCCCACCTTCTCAAACACAAGCAACGAAAAGGCGTAAGTTTCAAGATCAAAAACCTTGCCACTAAAACCGACTACCACAAATCATTGGAAGATGAAGCATTCAATGCTAAATTTGAGGTTCAGCCAAAAGAGTTAAATCACCTTTTCTTGAGAACGAATGTCGACGGTGAGGCTGTGCAGAACTGGAGGCAAGTCAGGGCGGTAACGCATGGAAACGTTCTTAAATGAGATAGCCCCAGCAAGAGGCCATCCAGGCGGGGGGCGGTGATCTTCAATCTCAAGGGGAGCCTCAGACTCAAGCTCGGTGTAATTCCCCACCCTCTCAACAGCATTAAAGGAATTTTCAGCCATGGAAGCAAGTCGGAGCGTAGAAGTCATGAGGGAGGTGATGTTCAGGGCATAAGAAAGCAAGAGACCCATTTGAGGTGCAAATGCTGCTTGGTTATTTGACCGGGAATTTCCGAACACAGCAAGCGTACCGGTGAGCCAAATCATGAGCCCGCCGAGAAAATCCAGCCGAATAGCAAGCCATCGGTTGGAGCTCATGTTCACAAGCGTGAATCTGACATTCGTGTCCATAGTGTTTCCATTAACTCCCGCCATGCGATCATAGGCTTTGTACGCTCGGATAGTTGCCAGACCATTAAGAGCCTCCCCAAACTGAGCGTAAACAGGCGACCTCGTAATGGAATCTAACCTCTTGACCTCCCTTGCTGTGGATTGAAAGTATAGATATGCAGCGTAAAAAGCTAGCAGAAGAGGAAGAATGGCCCAAAGGGAGATGGTGCTGACAAAGCCAATCAGTGCAAAAGTGGATAACAGCTGAAACACTGTTGTCAAAAACATGTTAGTATACAGGGCTACATTGCGATCAATGTCAGATACATCTTTTGCAAAGCGGTTAATTATCCGCCCGATTGGATTCGCATGGAAGAATCCCATGGGCGCCCTCAGCATCGCGCCCAACATGCCATCGTGCATTCTCTGTGCCGCTGCGAGACTCGACAGCACAAGCCAGAAAGAATTTGACAGCGTAACACATACTTGCCCAAAAGAGAGAGCCGCGTAGATGCCATTGTAGAACAGCGGTCCCTTGGGTTTTGGCTCCGTCTCATCTGTCCAGACACTCAGCCACGTGCTAGTGGAGAGACGCACCACTTCCGCAGCAACATAGAAGAAAAACAGAACACCCACTACTTTAAAGCCACCCAAGGCATTTTTATAGCGTTCGAGCACCTTCACGCTGACGATCCCCGTTTCACGTTCCTCTTGCTTGATGAGAAGAGCCTTGGCTTTCTTCTCTTTCTCGTGCTTCTTCAGGCTACTAGAGCGTTTCCTCAGAGAGGGATTCTTCTCTACCTTGCGAGAGTCGTTTGATTCAGGGCCTTCAAATATGAACGGAGCCTCTTCTTCGTCAGACTGGACATCCTCCATACTGCCGGCGTTCTCCATGAGCTGCTTGAAGAGGGGCCCATTGGCCATGAGCTCTTCATATGTCCCTTGCTCCATGATTTTGCCCTCATGTACGAGGATAATGCGATCAACATGGGAGAGGAAATGAAGTTGATTGGTAACCAACACACGGGTCTTCTTCTTAAGTTCATCGCGAAGACAAGTATCAAACACTTGTCGCGCGACGTGGGCGTCCAATGCACTGAGGGGATCATCCATTATGTACACATCTGCGTCTGCATAGACAGCGCGCGCAATCGACACTCGCTGCCTCTGACCACCAGAAATGTTCACCCCTCGCTCACCAATTTCGGTTTGGTCACCACCTGGTAAGGAAGCAAGGTCTCGGTCGAGTGCTGAAGCGTGCACAGCGCGATAGTAACGCTCTGCATTGAACGGTGCTCCGAAGAGAATGTTATCCCTAATACTAGCGTTGAAAATCCAGGAAATTTGTGGGACGTAGGCAACACTGCCACGGATCACAACATGGCCACCAGACATCGCCGGAAGCTCCCCAAGAGCAGCTGATATCAGCGACGTTTTACCCTGCCCTGTCGAACCCACAATTGCCACAAGGCTCCCTGGTGCAACCTCCAAATTGATATGTGACAGCGTTGGACGCTCTCCGTCAGCATCCCAAGCGAAGTTCCCATCCTTGATCACTATGGCCGGAAGGTTTGGCTCCAGGGGGGGATTGTCTTGCAAGACACGCTCATCTGCCAAGAGCAGATCCTGCAGCCTCTTGAGTGACACATTTGCATTTACTGCAGCCGTGATGAGCGTGGGAAACATGAAGAGAGGAAAACGTAGCACAGCGAAGAGTGAGAGAGACGTGAAGGCCTTGGCGGGTGTCAACGTGCCCCCAAACAGAGTGTAAATTCCAAAAGCTAGGACTGTGACTAAAACCGGGATACTATTGAGAAGAAAGCTGTTCACACTTGAAAGAAGCTGCGCCTTCCGGAACCAGCTGAGTTCGTCACTCCGGATGAGACCCACCTTAGCTCGGAAGCTATTCTCCCATGCATAACATTTCACAATGTCCATTGCAGAGAGAACCTCATTCATCAGCCCAATGCGCTTATCTGTCCGCTGCAAACCCTCTCGGGACAGGTATCGCATCTTGGAAATTATAAATGTCTGCGCAGGAAACATGAGCACAAGGATACACGACCCAATTATCGAGGCCACGCCAAGCTGTTGGTAAAGCAACACAACCGCAACCACGATCCTTATGGGAGCAGACCACAGTCCATGAAGTTGCTGGCAAATCTGTTGGAGAGCCTCTGCGTCGGTGGTCATAAGATTGGTGATTTTCCCCGTGGTGAAGCCGCGGCGCCCGCCTGGAGTAAGACGCAAAGATTTCCGAAATACAGCAGCTACGAGTGTTGAGCGAGTTCGAAAGCCCACTCTCATCACATTCTGAAAGTATTGGCCCTCACAGATAACCCCAACCATAACTCCCAAGAAGATGGTGGCTGCATAAATGTAGCCCTTCTCTGGAGATTCACCGTTCTGCATAGACTCTAGAAGGCGGGACAAAAAGATTGGCCCCACAAACTGACACGTATCATTCAAAATTTTGAAGATTCCCCCGATCCAAAACCTTTTGCCGAGAGCACGGTTCAAGGCCCGGAGTAGCCATGGCTTTGGTTTGGTACGCTCGTCTTCCCAGCACCTGAGAATAGGAGAAGTTGGATATCTTAGACGAACAACCATCTGCACACCAGAATCAAATGCAATACCCATCTGCATACTAGAATTCAGCATACTATTCTTGCTCTCATGGACTTTTTTCAAACCCATCGCAATTACTGCAGCAGTGAGGTTTATGCTCAAGAGGTGATACCTATGGAAAGTAGAATAAAGCTCCTCAGTCTTATCCGACTTATCCAGCTGCCATACATCTGGGTCCTTGATGGGCCGTTTATAACCAACCTGCATTAGTGGAGTCATCCAGTTGAAGAGCAAGCGTGCAACAATATTTGATTGAAACTCCGGACAAACATTGTTGCCTCCAGCAAGGGGTTCGTAATCCTCTGGCGCGAGGGTTACATCGTGGATGGAAACAGGCGTGTACTCCACTTGCTCGAGACTTGGGAAGTAGAACAAGTAAAACAAACTAAAGAGAGCTAAGACACCATAGTGGCTAAAGACCAACTGCTTCACAAGTGTGTCGTAATAGTCTCGAAGAGTGAAGATGTAGCTCGTCATGGTGGTATGCGCCACCAGCCCGTAAATGAGCGTGAAGCGCACATACCATATCCACACCTTGGTGTACACCCTCAGCTCAGCACAGAGCATTATCAAGACAACGGTCCACGTGATGGATGTCCATACTAGGGACGTAATCTGCATACGATTCACAAACCCAAACCATGAGCTTGGCAACAGAATCGGAGGTTCAAGAGCTTTGATTCGAGAAAATGAGAGGGGAAAAAGGACAAGGATAGAAGGGCACCTCAAATGGGGGAAGTGATGACGAGTTGTCACCGTTCACAGCAGAAAGCTTCAAGACTATCTGCGCAATAGGCTCCCCAACACAGAAGGCAGCAAGGAGGATGGCGAAGTAATGTGCCCCTGACGACTTCAGCTTGAATTTACTTGGTGCAGTATTGGAAAACAGAGAACGGATGCGAAAGAGGCAGACGAAGATCAAGGTCAAGTTGGAGAAATTGATGATGACAGTGTCGAGCAGACATGGGGTGTAAGGACCGAACCCGCTTGCAAGCTTTGTGTCCCATATGCCCCCTTCCACCGGTCGGCAGAAGGTGTCCATCAAATCCCCCCACGCCATACCTACTGCTCTGAAGGAAGCCACACAGACCTCATCAACGCTCCAAGATTATACGAACCCAATTTGTGTGTAAGCAATGATTTCTTCGATTCAAAGCAATTGAGGCAACAGCTACCCAAACAATTTCACTTGAAAAAAATTCACTCGATATAGGGTGCCCACAATTCATGATGTTCATATGTGACGAACATGATTTGTGGTTTACGAAGTCCTTCGAGAAACTATTACAGTCGCTCAGGGATCAGACCGCATATCGAGGACCATTCTCCGCCGCAACGAGACAACGTCATCATACTCTTGTAAACCAATCAATAGACTTAAAATCAAGTTCACACCTCAACAGTTCCAACAAACACATCTCTCACATCACGACATATCAGTCTAATAGTCGGAAGGCGCCGTTTGCAACCAGGTTTTGGACCCAACATCGAAGCGATGGATTGCCACCCAACGAGAACAATACTTCTTCATACCGTATTGCCATGTTATGTTGACTACCCACAAAGGATAGGGTCAAACTGATCAACCATATGGCAATCTGCGTCTTTCAGTTCATCTCGTGTGCTAGTCTTTAACAGTTACTAACAGTTTTGTAAAATATAGCCAGATGCTGCGAGAGACTCGATTTCACCAAACCCAAATGTCCCGCGAGCAGAATCTACTCTAGCGTACTCACAATCTTTCGGTTACTCGTCTTCTACAAGGCGAGCATCTCCAAAACGTATTAAAGCAAAATCAGAGGCAGTATTGATTAACTGCGAGTCTGGTGGCATTAAAAAATATATCAATATTCATGGAACCAGGATAATTCGGCAATGAATCTGCCACAGAAGGGTCAACTACGGCCCACCAAAAATTGCATCCAAGCTCGTCGTTCATTCACAAGTTTGAGCAGAGTAATCCCATCACCACAGCTGACGTTGATTCCACACTCTCTCCAGATACTCAGAGCTATCCGCAAAAAACCCACAACTCCAAACACATCGTCATAACACAATTCAAAACCAGGGTGGTACCCCAGCCTGCACACAACCCCAATTCCGCACCCACTAAACCCAAGGACTTGCAATTGTTGGAAACCCCTCTCGAAGCCAGAAACGCTACCTCTTAGAGCTCCAGCGCGCCTGGCGCAAGAACCCACCTCCAACGCAGCTGGTATTCTTGACCTCCCCGCCTACTCACGGAATGCCACCCACATCTCTCGACCTTCACAGCTGCCTCTGCTACTAATTCCCCGCACCTCCATTCCCATCTCCCCCGACGGTACGCCCTCCTGGTAAAGGGCGTTGGGCTTAACTCATCGCAGCCGACGAGCGGGGGTGGGTGCGACACAAGATCGCGAGGTTCGCGACCCAGCCACCTGTTAGACAAGCGGCGATGCACGAGGCCCCATCAGCGTTACATCAACACACACCGCGACGAGTCGTCGACGACGACGACGAGCAGCCTCGCCCTTTCTCCCCTCACATGGATAAGTACTTTCATTCTATCACCATGTCATCATCGTCATTCTCCTCCTCCTTCCACGACAAACCCCCTGGCAGCAAACCTCTTTTCAAGTGCTGCAAACCAATTCCGCGCGAGCTTTGCACTGCCACCGCCAGGTCGGCCTCGCCACACCTCGCAACCTTGCCTTGGGATCCCAAGGAATCAACCTCCATTTTCGCAGGCGCCTGTTCCCCTTTTTGCTCCTTTTCGAGCGAGTTTGCCTGGGATTGGAAGAGGACATAAAGAGCAGAATGAGGATGTGTACAAGTGGGCTCGGGCCATTTGGCACTGCTGAAGAAGGTCTCAGTGGCGAGGAAAAAAAAGCTGCGGTCGCTCCGAAAAGCGAAGAAGTAGAATGAAGAAGAAATAGGGGCTTTTCCCCCTTTCCGATGCCCCCCCCCCCCAACGGAATTGCCCTTGCGGGTGGGTTTTTGAATGTGGCGCGAAGGTTCGTAGGAAGAGAGGTGCGGGGTTTATGGCAACGTGTGGACCTATTCACACCTTCGATTTATGACGTCGGACTTTTAGGTCAAAAAATGAGAGTTGTGTGGAACAATGAATATCGGCACATGAAACAAAAGGGGAATTGACAATGTCATCATAAATAATGTCACATTATGACCTAAAATACTTACAAAAAATTATATATACATATATCTATATATATATATATTCACACTAGCAGAAACTATTGTTCTAAAATAATTATCAAATGAAAACTATCTACTAAAAAATAATTAAACTAATATAATTCTTGAAATATACTTTTATCTATCAATATGCAAAAAGGAAGTTGACAACTTTGGTTGAATTTGCAATTGCATTTACAATTGTTTTATATTTTAATACTTTGGATTTATTGAGCTATAAAATGTTTAAATTATTGATATTTAATAGATAATTTGATTCATTTTATTTTAATATACCTCTATCAAAGTTGATAAGAAAAAAAACTTTAGAATAAAAATTATTATTTAAATTATTTATTTATATATATACATATATACATATATATATATATATATTTATATATTAATGATATTATAACTAGAATTTAATAATAAAATTATATAAATAGATATATTAGAAGTTATTTTTAAAGAATTTAAATAATAAATAGTAATTTTTATTATTCTTTTAAATATTTATTTTTAGTAATTATATATCAATTATATTTTATTTTCATAGTTATTATCATAGCTAAAAAATAATAGTTCAAACTTTAAATTTTATAAATTTTTATATATTAGGCTTTCTTAAAAGTAAAAACATTGTTTTAGAGTCTATGAGTTTTATTCAAATTAAATTTTTTACTTTGAAAAATATGGTATGCAATCTTTTGTAAGTGCACAACATATTGCCCTTTGTTTTGTGTTTTTTTTTTGATATATTGAGATATTTATTTCTATTATTGAGAAATTTTGCAAATAACTATATTGCTAGTACTTTTGAAGCCATTGTCCAAGTTGTTGATAAGATGTCAAAGAGTAAAATGACACCATTTATTTATAAAACACCTTAAATTATTTTTATAGAGATTGTCATGCAAGACTCTAGATTTGCGATGATTTCAATATAATGATTGTTTTTCAATAACCTAGAACAAAAAGAAATCAGTGAGAAGAGTTAAAAGCATAAAAAGACAACCAATATAAAAACTTAGGGGCATTTTGGACAAACTTATATAATAAGCATCACCAATAATAGTACTTGATTATATAAAAATGATATTAATCTTCAAATATTTTGGCAAGTAATATTTTTTAAGGAACAAGATCAAATATACCAACACTTTATATACCCATTTTGAAAATGCAAGTACTTCAATCTATTTTACATTTGATATTGAAATTGTGACAACCTCAAAATAAGTCCATTCTTTGATAAAATCAAGCTAGACACCAATTTTTTTCAATGTACCATCAAGGTATTTAAGAAGTCTAACATTATCAACAATGATAGAAATGTTGCTTATAACTATATTTTTACATTATAAAAACTAATAGAATTTGAATTAAGTGCATGCTTCCTTATTGTTGGCATGTCCTTCCACCAAAATAAATGTGCTTCATATGCAATAAAAAATGTTATTAATGCTACCTAACTAGGATACATTATCATCTTTATATTAGGCAATCATATAAATATATTTCTTGGAGTTGGTTTGTAAATAATTTGATGTCTAATAATAAAAGATAATATTTAGAAATTCTTATTAGAAAAGTATTTATGAATTTATCATATAATATTATTTTTTGAATAGAAGATTGATATCTCTTTAAGGATCAAATCTAAAACATATATTTTTATCATTGTTTTGGCATTCTGTTGCCATGCAATAATAAACAAGGCAAAACTTGTCTTAAAGGTTTTGAATGTCTTATATTCTAAATAGCACAAAATATAATAATAATAATAATTATTATTATAATTATAATATTTATAGCAAGAATATCTTAATTAGTCACCATAAAAGAATTATTATATTAATATGATAGTTTATATTTTTATCTATTATATTTAATTTTTTATTTAAAAAATCTAAAAATAAAATATAAATAAATTATTGATGCTCTCTCCTTTACTAGCATCAATAAGATTGTAATACATGTGCAAAAACAACAAAAACTTATCAAATACATAAGAACAACTTCTTCTAACATAGACACGTAATAATTGAGTATTACAAACTACTAAAAATAATAGACTAACTCTTGCAATACTTTAATTGTGTAGTTTGCAATCCAAATATTTATAGAACAACTATAATTGATTGATTGGCAATATTTAATAGTTGTAATAGTTGGTGTTATTATGATTCAATTTAACTATGACAACACAAAGTTTTAGAACAACAGATAGATTTGAACAAAGCAAAAATACTAAGATCATATGCATAGTTGTTTTTATTTATACAAAGTTTAATATTATATATAATTTTGAAATCATGACAATCTTTTATAAGAAACTTATTTGAATTTCAAATATTAATTTATTTTTGATATCAATATAAAGATTTTTTTTTGTTACAATAGAATATTTTTATCAATATTAGAATAGATGCTCTATCTAAAAAGTAATGCAAAATTACCATGTACAAAAAATATCCTCAAAGTTAACATTGTCAATAGTTAACTATCCTTGTTTTTAAAGTAGAAATAGTATTCTATTAGACAAAGAAAACTCATCTATTATGTTGCATCAACTTAATAAGTTACATCCATCTACTTTCAAAGCCCTTATCAACCAACATAGTTAGTGGCTTAAGCTCATAGATCAAATATGGTATATCTTATAGAAATAATCAACAAAATATAAATAAAAGATTATTTCATTATCTAAAATATCATTTAAAAATGAATTGGGCATTGGGAATTAAAAATATTTTATGGCACCACAATTATTTTAGAGAGCTGCAAGGTAGACATCTTTTTATTACAATGTGAAAGTTCTTTGATGCCACACCAACAATACACCACTAATGCACATTTTTCAAAAAGTTAAACACTAATGATGCTGAAAGGTATAAAAAAAAATAATAATCTATAATATAGAAGCTAATTAAAGCAATCCAGCAAAATTGCTACAAGAATATATTTTTATTTATTTACTTTATTTAGCTTCGTATTATTGATGTTTCTATGTATTAGATTGTTATTGTTGTTTTTGTTGTTTTTTCTTTTTTTTCTTTTGTTGTTTTTTTATACCTTTGACCCTCGTAAATGTCCAACTTATTGAAAACTGATTGCACTGGTGTATTGTTGGTATAGAGCAGAGAATGTCCAAAGAATAAAAAGCAGGTGTCAACCCAATAGTTCCTTTATTTTATATTCTGAAAAATACTATTTTAAGAACCTCATTTTCTAAAAAAATCCAATATATATATATATATATATATATATTTGTAATCCTTATAAAATTCCAAAATATTCTAGATTCTAACAACCTCTCAAAAATTCTTTAAAATAAATATAATGAAATATAATAAAAAAAATGTAACAAGATAAAAATTCTAATTGGACAATTGTATTAGCTTCAATTTTTTATTATTTTTTTATAGATCAACTTTTATAATAAATACAATAAATGTAACCAATATACCAATGGAACTTGAAATAGAACTGTGATTGATGTCACTTACCCTTCTAATCTAAGTTTTATGAAGGTTTAGCTGTTTGATCTTTTAATACAATTTGTTTTTTTTTTTTTTTTTTTTCAAATGTGATTTTCATCATAAACTTAATATCTTTAATCACCACTTTAGAAAAAATTTAGAATACTAATTTTTAGATCTTTAAATGTGTATGGAATCTTAATTGACATCAAATCACCAACTTCTGATACTTCTTTGTATATGCATTTAGATATCTTTCAATCTCATTGTCAAAATAACACAAAACTTTATAATCATAACACACTCTTACAGATCCATTTAATTAGAAAAAATTAACTTTATGTCATGCACAAAACAATTGTATAGAACCCAAGTTTAACACTAAATTTGTATGACTATCAAAATATTATTACTTACAAAAAAATTAATTTTCTTTTTAATTTTTTTTTTTTTTGAGTCATAACTCCTTAAGCCCTATACATTTTAGTCTGTTTCCTGTAGACTTCAAATTTTCTATTACAAATTAAGAGAAAAATAAGAATTTCCAAAAATCAACTAATCTTACTCAAAAAATTTGCTTGCAACCAAACCATTTTGACATACTTTTTAAACTTAGATATTTTTTTTATTTACAATATACTTCAATATATATGTTTCAACATTAGCTAATCTAAGCTACAAGAATAATTTTTAATGCTTAAATAAAAGTTCTTATTAGCTGTTTTACATTTATTTCCTTTGTTTGAATAATTTTAAAGATCAATTAATAAAATAAATACTACAAAAATTTCCAATTTTAAAGAAATAAAATCTATGCAAATAAATATATATAGTATAAATTGAAATTTTTAGGATTAATTATACAAGGTTTAAAATCTCTAAATGAATTATTTTGAAAAAAAAATATTTGTATTGATTTAATATTTAGTGAAATAATAAAAATGCATATATATATTTTTAGAATGTATGTGTGTGTATATATATATCTATATATGTATAAAATACAATTATTATTTTTTAAAAAAATTGCGTTATATTTAAACATTAATTTCTAGATAAGTTTTTTTATACTCTTTTAATCATATGTATTTTTTAAGGAAATTTCTTTATAAAATTCACTTCTGAACATTAAAACTTAGCTGCATTATGATATTATATTTTTACTTCCAGTGTTTGAAGGCAAGTACATAATCTGAACATATTTTACCGT